TTCTTACTTTGATAGATTCTGATTCCCTTGTAAAAACAGCCAAGGTTGTTCAACCTATGACCAAAAGTAAGTGTCCATTAACAAATAACTATTTGTTGTATGTTTTCTTTGAAGAAGGTGAACCATTGTTTCAATCAGAAGTCTTTCCTGGATACAGGAATGCCTGTGTTAACATATTTCCATAAAATAGGAAATAGTGTGAGTTTTAAACAAAATAAATAGCTCTTTCTGGAACATAATACTCCAAGGATATTTTTACCCTCTCATTGCACTGTTACTTGTCTTTATAAAATATAGTCTTGCCATTATTCTGATGACCAAGCTTTAAGCACTGTTGAGTTGCAAAACAACTTTGCAAAAATAAGATTCACGGTTACAAACCTCATTGACTTTCAGATTCCCTTTTTCATGATGTATCTAACAGTCTGGGTGCACATTGCTTTTTGTGTAAGGGTGTGGGGAGAAAAAAAACTATTCTTCTTTAAAAAAATAAAGGAAAAACCTAATATTCTGCAAATTGAAGATGATACCTCAGAAGCTAAAAAAAAAATGGAATCTGTGATTTACTGTCACTTGTTTGAAAATTGTTATGATTCTTTAAGCCATGCAAATATCACAGATCTGTAAGACTGTGCTTTGATGTATTTATACATTTAACTTGAATTGATATGCCTGATTTTTTTAAGCAGCAAAGGATCACAGTAACTCTAATGTTGCAGAGTTGTATAATTTTTTAAATCAATCTTTATTTTCCTATATATACACTGTACGTTATAAAAGAACCAATAAAAACTGACTTCTGGAACTGCAGCCTTTAGTTTAGAAGGAAAGCATCTCATTGCCTGTACAAGTGTATTTTTAATACCATTCATGACAAGTGCATAGGGTTATTCTTCCAGGGTAATTTGAGACAGCTGAACTTGCACGATTTGAGGAAACATTATTGGATTCAAAATATTAACAAGTCATTTGTAATTATGACCTACTGTGAGAAATTAGGGAGAATTATGCGTGTTTTGTTTACAGTGGAGATTACAGTTTGTTAAAACATCCTAAAATATCTGTTTGTAACATCTTTAATATTCTAGAATCACCTCATTAATACCAATGAAATAACATATTTAAGCTAATAAGGATTTTTTTAATAAAGTCCAAATCTACTTTTTGCTCCGTATTTTTACCCCCAAAATTATTTTTGTGAAAGAATTAGTGGCAAAACCTAATTCCCATCCACATTAGGCAATCTAATATGTCTAGTATCTAATGATTCTTATAAAAGTTTGATCTCCCCTTTGTGAATATCCTGTCAGCTGATAGTTGAAGATTTGGTTAGTGTGGAAAATTCTGTATCAGAAATAGTCTATTCTTAAAGGCAAACCCATTTCCTAGTGCACTAGCAATTTTAAGGTTGTAAGATGTGATCAGAAATTCTTACTATTAATGCCTGGTTATTTAAGTAATTCCTTCATTAAAAACTCAGGTACATTTCAAAAATCTTTTCACTTCAATGATGTACATCCTGCCATTTCTCTGCTTGGATCTTTTACTGTGTTCTATCATGTAATTCTTTCATGTCAAATTGAACGTGAAAATTAACTGCCAGGTTTCTCTGCATCTGTGATAACAAAATAGTGGGGATTTTTTTCCTTCAAATATTATAGGATGACTTTTTGTAACATGTGACATTTTATGTTGGACAACCTGAAAATTTCCTGCCTCATCAGTCTAAACATTGCTGTAAACCACAATCAAAAAAACAGTTTTGAAGTATTCCCAGTAGCAATCTTGAAATTTCTTCAAGTATATTGAGATTTTGTTAGAAATTGAATTGCCAGTGTAATCCATCTTCCTTGTGAGAAAAGATTCAGATAAAGAGCTGGAGCCTAGCAGCATTAAGTATTAGAACATCCCTTTAAATCAATAAGCTACAAATCTGGCAGCGCATTCATGCAATGCCCAGTGCTACCCTAAAGTGGCTTTAGTGCTGAAACAGCATTACTAATAGCACATCCCAACATGGATAAACATTAACCTAAAGTGTAGGAGGCCTTGCCTAGTTAAGTTCCACAAAAACATTTGTATTGTACTGACATGGATAAGAAAGTAAGTTTCTTTCTTTTTTCTTTTTCTTTTTTTTTCAGATGACTTCCCAAACGTAGTTATAGATGGCATTCTACATGGAATATTTTATCCTCATTTACTGCCTAGGTAGAAGTGATGTGTGGGGAGAAGAAGCTGAAGCAAGTCTCTGAGTCACTTTTAATAGAATTAACAGGAATAAAATTCTGTGATGTGAAAATTATGCTCAGAAGCAAGAGGCACAACCTCAGATTAATTTCAAGCATTGTATCTTTTTAAATAAAATCACTGTCATTACAGTTGCTGCTTTTAAAAACATAGATATGGAAACAACAGTATTGAAGTTATTTATACCTTATATATATTGACATGCTCTAACTATTTAACACTAAATGTTCTAAGTCATACACTGAATTGCGCTAACCTTTGAAAACGTTTACTAATTATTTCTATAATTTTTATCAAAGCAAACACTAAACCTTTTTGCACCAGAATTTTTCCAAATGCATTACCCATGGCTGGCACTGAATGGATTAAAAGCACTGAAGAGAGTGTGTGAGGAATTGAAAACATGCTTTCACATTCTGAAACACATGGCACTCTCTGAGGAAATTTTCTAGATTTCAGTTATTTTACTTACCAGGAACTTTCATGTGGCATTTATGTATCTCCCTCCAGTTACAACATCTAACCTGTGTGTATGTTTACTCTCAACATCAACTTGCAGATTGTATTCCATATCTTAACATTTTATAAGTCACAGAGCATACAACTCTGTGGTAAAGTAAAGCAAGAATATGATTAAGATTATGATCAAACTAAAACTGATACATATGTTCAGATTTAACTGGAAATTTGTATGTGTGCTACTGGACATTACAAAATAAATTACTAGGACATGAATGTACTGCTTTGGTATCTTTTTTGTGCTTTTCTCTTGAAGCAAAACATTTCTCTGAGCTGCTGTCACCAGAAATGGGTCTCACAGATGTCTCCATGTGAAGCATGAGAAAATACCTGTGTGTGTGCTCATTTAAAGCTCTTAGCACCACACCATCTGACCATGCTAGGCTTACGAAAGTGTTATATCGTGGTGAAAAGAATTCAGTGTAATTGAACAGCCAGTTAGCCACTGGGCTCATCAGTGGAAGGAGTGTTGCACAAAAGCAGCAAGGGCAAACCTAAGCACAAACAGGAGCCTGACATGAGGGTTGCCTCCTCTGACTACTAAATGTGTTTGGAAGCCACCTGGGGAGAGTGAAAGGCTGGCACTTGGACAAAAGGCAGGCCTGTGACTACAGCACTTGTTCAGGTAGCAGGACTCTATGCTGTCTGCAGGATCAACCTCCAGGAAAGCTTTCAGCTACTAGCAGAAAGCTATTTGGGCAAGGGAGTCTTGAGGCATTCTTGCTCCTACTTCCTAACCCTGCTTACCAGTGCTGCTTTTCAGAGAATTTTACTTTAAACAGTTAGTAGAAAGAAAAACTTGCATGGGTAAAAGGGACATCTTGATTGCCTAGCACTAGGCAAATTTAGGAGCCCTTGCCAAGTTCTCCTCTAGCTCTGTTTAAAGAGGACAGTAATCCTTTCACAGGTCTCTGAAAAGAAGTGTCAGTATTTACCCTCAGGAGAGGCCCCGGAGCTGTGGATGATGAACCAGGAGCATCCCTGTAACTGCAAAGTACATGTCAGGAAGACATTGGATAAATCCCTGCCAACAGTTTCCCATTTCCTTGCAGATGGAATGTCAGTAGGTACAAGCTCTGTTCTGTAGCTCCTACTCTGCACCACTGAAAGTCTGGATATCTCACATGGACTCCAGGACATGCTTCAGGAAACTAGTCACAACAAAGAGGGTGGTGCGCTGTCTGCTGCACAGGGGGATGAGTCCTTCATGAAATTTGGCATTGGCTCTTCTGTGTCAAGTTCTAAAACACTGTCAACTCAAAAGAAAAAAATCCCCATCTCTTGTCCTGTAGAGTATTATGTAACTTGTTAAAGAACTTAATTGACATAGGTGTCTCAAAGTGTTACCTTACACTGACCTTGTTTAAAAGCTACCAGTTAAGTTGTCAGCTTAAAAGTTACTTACAAAGCATGACAAAAATAATGAACTTAAAGTTGCATCTCTGACCTACAGCAAAACTTAAAAAAAAAAAAAAGGCACGAGCTTTCTAATAAGTAACATCAGCTAGGTTACAAAATTCACCATGCTATAAAACAAGGACTCTCCTATTTTCATCAGTTTCTAACTGATTATCTTATTGAATAACAGACAGAAAAGCTGCTCTTTCTTGATTACAGAATGGTATCTGAATACAGTGGCTCTTTGAAAGACAGCAGGGACTTTATCTGACATGTTAAGATTTACCATCCGTGCTCTAACCTTGTAACCGTACTTCTGGAAAGCAGAACCCCCTGCATATTTTGCAGAATCAACTGAGATGACAAAAAAGACTGAGGGGGGGGAGAAAAAAAAGAGTTTCAAATATTTATTTGAAATCAAAGATTATTTATTCAAAACACTTATGTATTTTACTTTTTTTTTAATTTTTAAAAATGCTGGTAGTGTTACAGAACATATTTTCAGTTGAAAAGATGGAAACAAATATGGCTAAAATTTCCAAAGAAAACAAAGGATTTTGTTTTAAGCCTTGAGAAAAATAGAATTACTGCTATACTTTTTCATGAAAGACTTTTTCTGCAAGATCTAGAATTTAGTGGGGTATGTCTTGAATTTCAAGGAGTGAAAGCTCCATCAGGTTGTTATAGAAATGGTCATATCTTTTATGTATTTGGCAAATGCTAAGTACTGCCTAAATGTAGCCTCATATGTTTCGAGGAGAAAACTGAATGGACAGTGGAGTTCAGTCAAAAACAAGTGTTAAAGAAAAATGATTAAGTTTTACTTTTCTTTCTGACTGTTGATCTCACCAGTCATCTACTTCAACTACAAATGGTTCCTTTACAGCTATTTTGCCACTATTCACAATCACACAGTCCTGAAGGGGCTGGTCATGCTCATCTGTCTGCTGGAGTTCAATGGAGTGCACCACAGACTGTTAAACAGAAACAAACAAACAAATAGAAGAGTTCAGTTTAGCCAAGGAAACTCCAGTGGCTGAAGTCTGGTAGCACATAAACAACTAAGTGCTCGCAGCATTGCTGTTTATTAACCAACTTATGAACAAAGACCTTTACCCTGCTGAATTCCCACATGCTTTTTTTCCCCCACATTAATAGTTATGCCACTCTGCAACTCACACACAGTCGACAGGGAAGGCTGTTTGTCCTCTAGAAGAACTTTGAGCCAACAAAAGCATTATGAAGGGGCAAGTGCTGGGCTGACCCACCCAGCACATACAGGGTTCTAGCACATACAGAAAGGATAATCTAACTGTAAGGATAATTTCTAACTGTACAGCATAACTGTGCTTCCTGCTTAGTGCTTTTACTTTTAGCATATGACACACACATACAGATTTTAAGCGTGTTACCAGCATTTTTAAAGGACAAAATTCAGTTAGGTATATTGACTACCTGGCTTTGGATATTTGTCCATCAATCTGACTAAACTAAAATTTAGTCTAAGTCTCTTCTCAAAATTTTTCAGCTACTACTGTAGGTCATGAAAATTGAATTCAATATGAATGTGGGAGAGGGGGACAAGTGTTCTGATGAGATTTTCAAATTCCTCAAAAAACTGTTCTGTCCAGAAGCTCGTTTTCCCCATTAATTTCACAACAAAGATTAAAAGGGAATAATTTAAAAGAAAAACCAGCCTAATATATTCAGTTGAAAGTACCATTTTTAAACTTAAAATTCTGTCTGGCCTTTCATCAGTTTTACAGCTGTGTACAGTTTCGGAGAATTAACTGATTTTTTTTTCTTTTTAAACAGATCTGAATATATGTGTTTTTATACTTTATATTCACATGCTTCTAAAAACCCTAACAGTGAAAGTGTTACCCATAACTAGCACATGTACAAAATCAGATTTTAGCTTGCAGAAATACAGTTATTTCATGGCTAACAGTGTTAGTGAAAGGAGGACCTGAACTTACTCCATTTGTAATCTGTAAAGGTGTCAGTGTGTATTTCAGTAGCTAGTGGTCTGAAACAAGGGCTGTGAAAGCCAAAAGCATGATTTAAGTTTCCATTTCTGCAGTTAGCATTTGCTATTTCAGTTCTAAATTGTCCAGCTGGAGCTCTTCACAATCATTTTCTACCATGTACGTATTAGATGCACACTCAACAGTTTTGAACCACAATCGTGTAAGTTATGGTAATACAGATATAACGTGGCAGAATTCGTCCAGATTTTTTTGTATTAACCTTGTCACTACTTTTAACTTACCATTCCATCAAGGACTTTGCCAAATACTACATGTTTTCCATCTAACCAGGAAGGCTTTGTCACACTGATGAAGAACTGGGATCCGTTGGTGTCTGGGCCAGAATTAGCCATGCTAACCCATCCAATTCCATAGTGTTTGAGCTTGAAGTTCTCATCTGGAAACTTTTCTCCATAGATGCTTCTCCCTATGACAAAAAATAAGAAAGCAAACTTAAAAAAAANTTCTCAGTCTAAACATTGCTGTAAACCACAATCAAAAAAACAGTTTTGAAGTATTCCCAGTAGCAATCTTGAAATTTCTTCAAGTATATTGAGATTTTGTTAGAAATTGAATTGCCAGTGTAATCCATCTTCCTTGTGAGAAAAGATTCAGATAAAGAGCTGGAGCCTAGCAGCATTAAGTATTAGAACATCCCTTTAAATCAATAAGCTACAAATCTGGCAGCGCATTCATGCAATGCCCAGTGCTACCCTAAAGTGGCTTTAGTGCTGAAACAGCATTACTAATAGCACATCCCAACATGGATAAACATTAACCTAAAGTGTAGGAGGCCTTGCCTAGTTAAGTTCCACAAAAACATTTGTATTGTACTGACATGGATAAGAAAGTAAGTTTCTTTCTTTTTTCTTTTTCTTTTTTTTTCAGATGACTTCCCAAACGTAGTTATAGATGGCATTCTACATGGAATATTTTATCCTCATTTACTGCCTAGGTAGAAGTGATGTGTGGGGAGAAGAAGCTGAAGCAAGTCTCTGAGTCACTTTTAATAGAATTAACAGGAATAAAATTCTGTGATGTGAAAATTATGCTCAGAAGCAAGAGGCACAACCTCAGATTAATTTCAAGCATTGTATCTTTTTAAATAAAATCACTGTCATTACAGTTGCTGCTTTTAAAAACATAGATATGGAAACAACAGTATTGAAGTTATTTATACCTTATATATATTGACATGCTCTAACTATTTAACACTAAATGTTCTAAGTCATACACTGAATTGCGCTAACCTTTGAAAACGTTTACTAATTATTTCTATAATTTTTATCAAAGCAAACACTAAACCTTTTTGCACCAGAATTTTTCCAAACGCATTACCCATGGCTGGCACTGAATGGATTAAAAGCACTGAAGAGAGTGTGTGAGGAATTGAAAACATGCTTTCACATTCTGAAACACATGGCACTCTCTGAGGAAATTTTCTAGATTTCAGTTATTTTACTTACCAGGAACTTTCATGTGGCATTTATGTATCTCCCTCCAGTTACAACATCTAACCTGTGTGTATGTTTACTCTCAACATCAACTTGCAGATTGTATTCCATATCTTAACATTTTATAAGTCACAGAGCATACAACTCTGTGGTAAAGTAAAGCAAGAATATGATTAAGATTATGATCAAACTAAAACTGATACATATGTTCAGATTTAACTGGAAATTTGTATGTGTGCTACTGGACATTACAAAATAAATTACTAGGACATGAATGTACTGCTTTGGTATCTTTTTTGTGCTTTTCTCTTGAAGCAAAACATTTCTCTGAGCTGCTGTCACCAGAAATGGGTCTCACAGATGTCTCCATGTGAAGCATGAGAAAATACCTGTGTGTGTGCTCATTTAAAGCTCTTAGCACCACACCATCTGACCATGCTAGGCTTACGAAAGTGTTATATCGTGGTGAAAAGAATTCAGTGTAATTGAACAGCCAGTTAGCCACTGGGCTCATCAGTGGAAGGAGTGTTGCACAAAAGCAGCAAGGGCAAACCTAAGCACAAACAGGAGCCTGACATGAGGGTTGCCTCCTCTGACTACTAAATGTGTTTGGAAGCCACCTGGGGAGAGTGAAAGGCTGGCACTTGGACAAAAGGCAGGCCTGTGACTACAGCACTTGTTCAGGTAGCAGAACTCTATGCTGTCTGCAGGATCAACCTCCAGGAAAGCTTTCAGCTACTAGCAGAAAGCTATTTGGGCAAGGGAGTCTTGAGGCATTCTTGCTCCTACTTCCTAACCCTGCTTACCAGTGCTGCTTTTCAGAGAATTTTACTTTAAACAGTTAGTAGAAAGAAAAACTTGCATGGGTAAAAGGGACATCTTGATTGCCTAGCACTAGGCAAATTTAGGAGCCCTTGCCAAGTTCTCCTCTAGCTCTGTTTAAAGAGGACAGTAATCCTTTCACAGGTCTCTGAAAAGAAGTGTCAGTATTTACCCTCAGGAGAGGCCCCGGAGCTGTGGATGATGAACCAGGAGCATCCCTGTAACTGCAAAGTACATGTCAGGAAGACATTGGATAAATCCCTGCCAACAGTTTCCCATTTCCTTGCAGATGGAATGTCAGTAGGTACAAGCTCTGTTCTGTAGCTCCTACTCTGCACCACTGAAAGTCTGGATATCTCACATGGACTCCAGGACATGCTTCAGGAAACTAGTCACAACAAAGAGGGTGGTGCGCTGTCTGCTGCACAGGGGGATGAGTCCTTCATGAAATTTGGCATTGGCTCTTCTGTGTCAAGTTCTAAAACACTGTCAACTCAAAAGAAAAAAATCCCCATCTCTTGTCCTGTAGAGTATTATGTAACTTGTTAAAGAACTTAATTGACATAGGTGTCTCAAAGTGTTACCTTACACTGACCTTGTTTAAAAGCTACCAGTTAAGTTGTCAGCTTAAAAGTTACTTACAAAGCATGACAAAAATAATGAACTTAAAGTTGCATCTCTGACCTACAGCAAAACTTAAAAAAAAAAAAAAGGCACGAGCTTTCTAATAAGTAACATCAGCTAGGTTACAAAATTCACCATGCTATAAAACAAGGACTCTCCTATTTTCATCAGTTTCTAACTGATTATCTTATTGAATAACAGACAGAAAAGCTGCTCTTTCTTGATTACAGAATGGTATCTGAATACAGTGGCTCTTTGAAAGACAGCAGGGACTTTATCTGACATGTTAAGATTAGGTAAATTTACCATCCGTGCTCTAACCTTGTAACCGTACTTCTGGAAAGCAGAACCCCCTGCATATTTTGCAGAATCAACTGAGATGACAAAAAAGACTGAGGGGGGGGAGAAAAAAAAGAGTTTCAAATATTTATTTGAAATCAAAGATTATTTATTCAAAACACTTATGTATTTTACTTTTTTTTTAATTTTTAAAAATGCTGGTAGTGTTACAGAACATATTTTCAGTTGAAAAGATGGAAACAAATATGGCTAAAATTTCCAAAGAAAACAAAGGATTTTGTTTTAAGCCTTGAGAAAAATAGAATTACTGCTATACTTTTTCATGAAAGACTTTTTCTGCAAGATCTAGAATTTAGTGGGGTATGTCTTGAATTTCAAGGAGTGAAAGCTCCATCAGGTTGTTATAGAAATGGTCATATCTTTTATGTATTTGGCAAATGCTAAGTACTGCCTAAATGTAGCCTCATATGTTTCGAGGAGAAAACTGAATGGACAGTGGAGTTCAGTCAAAAACAAGTGTTAAAGAAAAATGATTAAGTTTTACTTTTCTTTCTGACTGTTGATCTCACCAGTCATCTACTTCAACTACAAATGGTTCCTTTACAGCTATTTTGCCACTATTCACAATCACACAGTCCTGAAGGGGCTGGTCATGCTCATCTGTCTGCTGGAGTTCAATGGAGTGCACCACAGACTGTTAAACAGAAACAAACAAACAAATAGAAGAGTTCAGTTTAGCCAAGGAAACTCCAGTGGCTGAAGTCTGGTAGCACATAAACAACTAAGTGCTCGCAGCATTGCTGTTTATTAACCAACTTATGAACAAAGACCTTTACCCTGCTGAATTCCCACATGCTTTTTTTCCCCCACATTAATAGTTATGCCACTCTGCAACTCACACACAGTCGACAGGGAAGGCTGTTTGTCCTCTAGAAGAACTTTGAGCCAACAAAAGCATTATGAAGGGGCAAGTGCTGGGCTGACCCACCCAGCACATACAGGGTTCTAGCACATACAGAAAGGATAATCTAACTGTAAGGATAATTTCTAACTGTACAGCATAACTGTGCTTCCTGCTTAGTGCTTTTACTTTTAGCATATGACACACACATACAGATTTTAAGCGTGTTACCAGCATTTTTAAAGGACAAAATTCAGTTAGGTATATTGACTACCTGGCTTTGGATATTTGTCCATCAATCTGACTAAACTAAAATTTAGTCTAAGTCTCTTCTCAAAATTTTTCAGCTACTACTGTAGGTCATGAAAATTGAATTCAATATGAATGTGGGAGAGGGGGACAAGTGTTCTGATGAGATTTTCAAATTCCTCAAAAAACTGTTCTGTCCAGAAGCTCGTTTTCCCCATTAATTTCACAACAAAGATTAAAAGGGAATAATTTAAAAGAAAAACCAGCCTAATATATTCAGTTGAAAGTACCATTTTTAAACTTAAAATTCTGTCTGGCCTTTCATCAGTTTTACAGCTGTGTACAGTTTCGGAGAATTAACTGATTTTTTTTTCTTTTTAAACAGATCTGAATATATGTGTTTTTATACTTTATATTCACATGCTTCTAAAAACCCTAACAGTGAAAGTGTTACCCATAACTAGCACATGTACAAAATCAGATTTTAGCTTGCAGAAATACAGTTATTTCATGGCTAACAGTGTTAGTGAAAGGAGGACCTGAACTTACTCCATTTGTAATCTGTAAAGGTGTCAGTGTGTATTTCAGTAGCTAGTGGTCTGAAACAAGGGCTGTGAAAGCCAAAAGCATGATTTAAGTTTCCATTTCTGCAGTTAGCATTTGCTATTTCAGTTCTAAATTGTCCAGCTGGAGCTCTTCACAATCATTTTCTACCATGTACGTATTAGATGCACACTCAACAGTTTTGAACCACAATCGTGTAAGTTATGGTAATACAGATATAACGTGGCAGAATTCGTCCAGATTTTTTTGTATTAACCTTGTCACTACTTTTAACTTACCATTCCATCAAGGACTTTGCCAAATACTACATGTTTTCCATCTAACCAGGAAGGCTTTGTCACACTGATGAAGAACTGGGATCCGTTGGTGTCTGGGCCAGAATTAGCCATGCTAACCCATCCAATTCCATAGTGTTTGAGCTTGAAGTTCTCATCTGGAAACTTTTCTCCATAGATGCTTCTCCCTATGACAAAAAATAAGAAAGCAAACTTAAAAAAAAACCCAAAAACAACAACAATCAAAAAGCCTTTTTTGTTCAAAAAGGGGAAAAACAAAGTATGAATTCAGGACTTGAAGATTCATTGTTTCAGTAAGCACAGCAACATCACTGTTCCATCATCAGTGATTCCATAACTAAAACCAATTTGCTTGTAAAGAAATAAAAGTAAGCTAAACCACCCCATATAAGCAGAGAATAGTTAAAGCTGATGATGCTTTATCCTTTCACTTTAACAAGCAAGCTGAGTATCTTCAGTGCTTACAGACACCACTGAACAATAATATACTTCATCCTGTTCAACAAATTTAACTTACATAATTATGGTCAGTAACAGCAAGGCTGCTGTGTTTTGTGACAACTTCAGTATTTACACCTTTCCCTCCTAATAAGAAATTGCTTCAGACATGTTTAGAAACAAAGGAAGACCAGATGGAAGTTAGACTAAAATACTTGGTGTGGCTTTGTACAACCACAACATAAAGATTTTGATGTTTCTAAAATAAATTTAGAAAACACTTCAGTCATGATTAAAATACCATCACTTTGAAAAGAGAAGGCTGTCTGTCTCATTCTTTACTTGTGCAGTGCCTAGCACAACAGGGACATTGCTTCCAACACCATCAAATACTGTCCCAATGAACAGCATCAGCAGGCAAATAAACACTGCCTATCTTTAATGTTAAAACTGTGTCTTTGGTATTTTAGTCTTCCCCATTGCTGGCTGCAAGGAAGAGGAATGTGTGTTCCATTCTACCCCAGCAGGGAAATCACTGCACTGTATGCAGACAGTTCAACTCGTAGCACGCGAATAACGTGTATGACAAGGAAGAGAAGAAATCCGAAGCCAGAGTGCATGCAATGCAAGAGATGCTGAGCTGGGATTGGTCTCCTCAGTGGACTGAACTGGTTTCCTGGGGGCTCAGGAGGGAGAACTGATACACACAGCCAGGACTCATACCACCAATGAGTTTGTGGTTTCAATTCCGGTAAGAGAAAAAAAAGGAGAGGGCGTGACCCTCATTTTCTAATTTTTCTCTCCCTGTGTTGAAATTCCCTCTCGCAGCAC